GGCAAAGAAAGGGAATATCCTTTGATTGGTTAAACTCAACTTTGGTTACATTTTGAATTTATTGTTCGTTGTACAAAGTTGTTTACTTGCTTGACCTCTGGATAAGATGACATTCTGCATTATTCTGTAATATCTTTCTTTATTGGAAGGGCTTTTTTCTTCTTTTTGGTGGTGTTGAGAGGAGTAAAATTGAATTGATAGTTTCCTGCTTTTCAAATGATTAAATTGAGTCTACTTTTGAAGCAATTCGTCATTTTTCAGATTGACTTTGGTGTATAGTCACAAGACATTGCCTTGTCAAATTTATACATGGACCTTCTTTGCAGGTGCTTCTACTTGGCAAGGTCATACAGTTTAGCTGGAAAGAGAACGGAAGCATACGCACTATACTGCCGTGCTCGCTCTCTTGCTGAGAATGCCCTACAGAAGTTTCAAACTCATAGTAACAGTGATCAGGTGTCTACATTTATATAGGGGTTTGCCTTCCTCATTACTTTTATTAGATTTTCTGCATTACTTTGACTACTGCTGAATGCATTTGTGCTTTCTGTATGCAAATTACTTGCTTGACACTTGCAATGTTTTCTTCCTGTTAATGAACTCCTTAATGGTCATTTCTTTGGCACTGTCTCTTAACTTTGGGTTCTGACATCTGATCAATGTAATCATGATTAAAATTTTAATCTGTACCTTCTTACCTTGACAGGTGATGATCAAGGAGTTGAAGACATTATATGACGAATGCAGATCTTACAGTTGCATAGAGCACGCAACTGGAATTATCGAGGAGGAGAAGGCTCCAGAGAATCTTTCAAAGAAAATATCTACTATATCATTAAGTGGAGCTGACAAGAAGGTACCATTTATACTCTTCCCTTTCTTGAAATACGTACATGTCTGTCACACGTGTTCCACAGATACATAGTCAAGATAATGTTACACCAGGTGTGAACTAGTTAATTTTACACCATTTCAACTGTTTATATGCTTTAGTTTTATGAAACCGACTATTGGATTTTTCCACCTACCATTGTAGATCATCCATGCAAGTAATTTTCAAGTAATTGTTTTCATAAAAGAGCTATTTTCAATGTTTTTTTCATGAATTTGGAATGGTGAATTTTTTCAATTGTTGCATATTCCTTGATTCCTTGATTCATTATTCTTTCTTTTTAAAAAAACTTGCACATGCATTGGAGACGGAGAAGATACATCCTGTGACCCCTATTTTGTTACATTGTTGTGATGTGTTGCTTGGGATCTGTTCAGGTGGAAAAATACCTTCTCGAGAAACTTGATCTCTATGAGTCTGCAGTTGGCGATTCCAATGTGAAAGCTGTTCCGCGAATAGAACCCTTCCCACCAGCCTTCCAGTCAATACCTCGTAATCCTATTGTTCTAGACCTAGCCTATAATACTATTGAATTCCCATCTCTAGAGAACAGGATGAAGAAAGACAAGAAGGGTTTCATAAGTAGGCTTTGGCGTTGAGTTTCAGACAAGGTTTTCTTGAACCAAAAGGATTAGGACCAAAAAAAAAAAAACCCTCGTTACCTTGATGAGATTTTGACATGCTTTGGCCTTTGACTTCAATTTTAGCAGTTGAGTAATTCTTGTAACTGCAGATTTTCTGGGAATTATATATACTTGAGATATTTGAGCTTTTCAAAAATTTTGAAACTATCGAGGAGGAAAGGGGATATGAATATCAACATTTTCTATGGTATAGAATTTGATGACTTGATTGGTGATTACTGCTAAAATCTATCACTGGGAAAATCTATTAATGTTTTGTCTTCACTGAATTCCTGAAAATAATCCAAACCATTCGTTTCTTCAACAACCATACTCCAATGGTGGCCAGGAGAGGTAAGAGATATACAAAAAAAGATACAAATTTTTTTTCTCATTCATACATGATGTTTGCTTGTCATTTTCTCTCTTTCATATTCCATGGTAAAATTACTTTGCACGTTTGGAAGGTAAAGCATCTGGTTCCAAATGCCAAGAGTCTTCTGGAATGCCATACTTACCAATTCCAGGCACCCTGAAGGCTGGAATTCGATGCGAGCAACTAAGGTTCTCTTCCTTACAAACCGTAAAGGTAAGATCAAACCCATCATATTGTTGCCTGCTATAGGAAGTTAAGTAACCCTTCACTTCTCTCAGCCTAGCTACTTTTACTCCATCTTCTTCAATACCTGATAAAACTTGTACAATTTGATAATGACAGTTTTCATAGTTAGAATGTTTCTACATGGTGTTCCAGTTTTTGTACATTGCCCATATTTCACCCTTTCGGGGGTGAATCTTATAGAATGACTTGCATTTGCTTTGTTCGCACTGAACAACATAGGAGAACAAGGTTGACACTAGCTCCACTGACTGTAAATACTCCACAAGCTATGGGAAGGTTTTCTTTCTGCCATTGAATCTCATGGTCACGGATCAGCAGAGGTTCTAACACTGTTCCAAAAACCTGGTTCTCTGCAATTATACCATTAATTCTGATATATTGCCTTGTTATAGGATCCTTTCCACAGTTTATTGTCCATACCTGTCCTGTTGCCAAATGTTTGTGTGTTGAACCAGGCTTCAAACTTTTGTTCACTGGATATTTAATTAAGATAGGATCTGATCTAGACAGGAGGCTTGCATTATCATTTGGTGATTGCTGGCTATCCATAATCATGTAATCTGTTAAGGCCATCTGGTCTAGCTCGAACGTCCCATCAATAATATTATCAATCTCTCCACCTCTGTACCTATATGCTGGAACATTATGTGAGAACATGTACACGCTATTTGGGGAGATATGGAAAGTAATAGGATTTCCTCCTATTGTTTGTCTCTTGAACACGCTTTTGAAGCCATTGACCTTTACCAGGAATGCAGCATCTGCTCCTGAATATTTTGAAAACTCTGATATGACCTCAACTAACTCAAATCTGCACCCTTTCACAGCACTAGGATCACTGGACCAATCATCAAGGTCCCAATCCTTATACAGAGCCCAAATTTCACCTTTTTTAGGATAGATTTCAAATTGATCCTCTGTTATACCTTGAGTCCAGGAGCATTTGTAGGATGAAATAATTTGCCAACTTACCTCTTCCTTCATCTCTGGAACCAGTTCAAAGGATCCACGAGCAACAGAGAGGCCTTTATCACACAATCTCCTCTCACCAGGATGAATCGGGATTGGTTTCAACGTGGTAACACAAACTGCTGAGTTTGAATTTATACTGTTTTGAGCATAGCAGTAATTGTGCTGCAACTTTGCTCTATAATGAGCAGCCCATATTTGACCTGCCTCAAGATAGTTTGGTTTCCTGTCATCCTCAAAATTATAGTAGTCCTGGCAGGTTACAAACCCATCCAAAATGGTAGGCATGGAAATTGTTGACAAATTTATGCCATCTGAAGACATACTTATTTCTTCTGCAACTCTCTCCCTAACAATACCATGATGGTCTAATTTGTCTTCAGAAGTTAAATTTTTTTTCCACGGAATTTCCAAGAGCTATTGAAAGTGTCTATGCTGTTGTCTTACTGCCATATGATAAAAATCTTTGAGAACACATTGAGGAGCTTTGAGCAGTACTTACAGTTTCCCTATCTGAGATGCTTTGGTTCGATGGTGCTTGGACCTTAAAAGATCCATAATCATCCCATCCTGTACCCCTTTTCAAAAAAAATGTAGAACGTTTCTCATTTTTCGAAAGCGTGAGAAATGCATCTTGCATGTGTTTCAGAGCCAGTTCCGTTCCTGGGAAAGTTCTCATGATAGGTCGCAACATGGAGACAACCTTCTGGTGACGCTTTCCAATTAGACTGAGTAGATGATGGCGTAACCTGAAGGATCCAGTAATAATCAATACCATAACCACAAAACTCAACACTAGCAGCAAATAGTATAACACACAGTCAACATCAAACCAATATTATCAATCACAGGGGAAAGCCCTTTTGCTCTGAGTAAGTGTTCCCTGGCAATGACATACTCGTTCCGAGTCATCATTTTCTCAGCTACTTCTTTTTCTTGAAGAGCCTTCAAAACCTTTTGATCCATCTCTTTTGAGGTACCAACCTTGATGCTATGCTTCATCCTATACTGCTATTCAATTCAAATTGTGAAACGAGCTCTCATGAACTGCTACACAAGAACAATACACAATTCACAAAACTACACAAGGAAAGACGAAATTGTTTGCAAAACCAAAGAGAATTTAGAGTTCAACCATTCTAGCTTATTCCCATTCTTTTAAACAAAAGAAGCATTTAAAACATGTAAAAACTGAAGCCCAAAAAGCCTAATGCAGTGAAAAACGGAACCATGAAGACCATATATGTAGATATACCAAATAAGAAAAGATCACATTTTTGGAGCAGTGAAAAACAGAACCATGACTAGAGGCACCAAGTACTCGTGAAGGAAACAAAACAAACCCAGAAACATTTCCAGAACCTAAACCCAAAAATCACAAAGATTTCATAAGCTTAAATTAAAAGAACCCATTTTTTAGCTTGAAGTAGTACGTTTAAGTAAAAGAACTTACATATGGCTAATTCGTCTAATACTTTTTGATGCTTCCTTAAATGGTTACTGTTTCTGCAATGAAATCCTTAACAGATTACAAATGGTACATGAGAGAGAAAAGATAGATTGCTGAAGAAAAGTAACAGAAGGCAAAGAAGAGCTGAGCTGAAGCTCTTGGGAACTTTGTTGCGCAAAAGTTTTCGGCTTTTCGCCCAAAAACTATGGAGTAGGCCTAGTCTATTGGTTTATACAAAATTGTCCACCAAGAACATTGGGGCTAATTTGAAAATTTGTGATCCACATGTATCCTTTTAACCTTTCGAGATTCTACGGACCCATTCACCAACTTCCAGAACTTGTCCATAAAATTTTATAAGAGATAATCAAACATTGGTGATCCATGAGGATAAAAAACATGACCCACCATTGGATAGAATGTATAAATAATCAGAAGTGTTTCATTAGTGTTATTTGAATCCAAAATGAGAAGCCATAAATTTTTATGGCTTTTTGAGAGCCAAAAACTTTCATCCATGTAATTGACAATGAAGAAGGTTATTGAAGGTAAGGTCCAAACCCTAACACGATTCCTCTACGTACCAAGTACAAAGTACATTGAAATGTTTTCCAAACATTTGGGAAAGGTTTATGGTGGAGAGTGTAGGCTTCTCAAGGTAGAGGCTGCAGGGCAATGGCTATTGGCTAACCTCATCACTGAAACCACGTACTCCATCCTTGTTGAGCATCAGCTTTAGAGTTGAAATAAAATCCAGCCTAGTTTCCAAATGGCTGTACATTTAAAAAAAAAAAAAAAAACAGAGGTGTTGAATACACAATAATTTCTCCGCTTGGCTGAGTTAGTCTAGTGTAGCACCAGCATGAGCCAGCTCCCTTGGTTGATTCAGTGAAGTTTTAACTGAAGCGGGAAGAAGAACAGGTGGTCTTGTTTTCTCATCCAGTAATCATGCTTACACTTGACAAGCAACTCCAAATGTTGCTTGCTTCGGGAAATTGCTAGGACTCTCAGGGTTTGCATCATCATGATCTTTATCAATTATACTATTTACACTGGTGGAGTTTGAAACCCATCCAAATTGGACGAAACTCTCCAGAATCCTTTCTGCTTTCTCCAGACTTCCTTTGTCATGAAAACGACGAACTAGCTTGTCACATGTAATCGGACTGAGCTTAAGTCCTTGCTCTGCCATTTCATCAACTAACTTTAAAACTTCAGAAATGTCCTCTCTTTGGCATACAACATCCAGCAGCAGAAAAGACAGTTTTTTGTCGAAGACAACATCCTTCCCTAGTATTTCATCCAACAACTTCAGTATTCCAATCAAGTTATTTTCTTTCAAGTATGCACGAGCCATAAGATCATAGATTATTTCATCAGGTTCAACCCCATTTGCAGCCATCGTCTCAAAAAGAGCAAACATCTCACCTCTCCTCCCTAATCTGTTGTAACCATGTAAAAGCAAGTTGTAAGTTACAACATTTGGAACCAGATTCCTCCTTTGCATCTCCAGAAAGAGATGTTCGGCTTCTTTCATCTCTCCTGCCTTGCAGTGATGATCTATCAGGATTGTATAGGTTATATGATTCGGTGTGATACAGTTATCAACCATGTCTTCTAACAGCCGATTAGCTTCATTTGGTTTCCCTGACTTGCATAATCCATCAATCAATGCATTGAAAGAAGAGGTGGAAGCAAAGCCCTTCTGCACCATTTCAGAAAATAAAGAGAGAGCCTTGTCCAATTCTCCTTCTTTACAGCATCCATTGACAAGGGCACAATAAGTAAAACTATCAGGTGGAACACCCCTTGAGGGCATTTCATCCTGTAACTGAAATGCCTGAGTTAAATTGCCAGATTTGCAATATCCATCTATAATCATAGAATAGCTCTTGGTATTAGGTGCCAAGCCTTTCTGTGAGATTTCATTGAAGATCTTCCTAGCTTTCTTAGTGTCACCAGCCTTACAAAGACCATCGATCATTGTGTTATATGTAACGATGTTAGGAGCAATGCCTTTTTGACACATCTTATTATAAAGATTGAGAGCTGCCTTCATATCACCCAGCTTAGAAAAGACAGAAATGAGAGAAGTATAAGTAAATACATCAGGCACTATACCCTTGTCATCAAGTTGGGAGAAAAGATCCATTGCATCATTAATTCTACCATTTGTTGCAAGGCCATGGATGAGCGTAGTGTAAGTCTTCACATCAGGAAGCACACCTTTTTCAGACATGTACCTAAATGTTGAAATAGCCTCAGCTACCTTTCCCACCTTGCAGAGGCTGTTAATCAATGCAGAATAAATAGCATTATTTGGAGCTATACCATAACCTTGCATCTCTTTGAAAGACCTTTCTACGGCCTCCATTTCCCCTGCCTTAGCATATCCATGGATGAGAGCCCCATAGGTATGTTCATTAGGCTTCAATCCCCTGTCAACCATTTCAACTAAGAAACTCCTTGCTTCATCCATCTTTTGGGCCTTACATAAGCCACTTATAAGAGTATTGCAACAAAAGACATCAGGCATTACCCCTTTCTCCATCATTCGGTCTAGAATCCTTTTGGCTTCTTCAAATCTACTTTTCTGGATATGACCTTTCATCAGATTTGTATACATAACGACATTGGGCTTCAACCCTTCCTTAATCATTGCCTCCAAAACATAACTAGCTCGTTCAAGATCTCCACAATGGCATAGGCCACTAATTATCCCATTATAAGTGTACACTGTGGGTGTCAAGTTACTCTTCTTCATCTCTTCAAGCAGTTCATAGGCCTTAAGAAAATTTTGTTGTCGACAATAACCCTCAATCAAAATACTAAAAGTTTGTGCATCAGGTGCAGGGCCAACATAAACCATCTCATTGAATAGAGCTTTTCCCTTCTCCAAGTCGCCAGCCTTACAAACACCACTAATAAGCACATTATATGTGAACACGTTCAATTTAACTCCACAAGCAACCATCTCATCCTTGACTCGGAAAGCCTCAACCGTGCTACCTCGTTTCATGAACCCGTCAATCAAAGCTGTGTAAGCAAAATGGTTAAGATTTAAACCAGCACGACGCATTTCTGTCATCATCAATTTCGCTTCCCTAAATCTGTTCTCCCTACAAAACCCATCAATAAGCATATTATAAGTATAAGCATCAGGGTCGAAACCCTTTTCAGCCATGGACTTCTTTAGTTTCAATGCTTCATTAACAGCGCTAGCTTTACACAATCCACCAATCATAACATTATAAGTAACCAAACCAGGACTACATCCCTTCTCGTCCATCTCCGTAAGCACCCTTTTCGCTTTTTCAATATCCCCAACTCGACAATGAGCATTAATCACATTGGTAAAAGTATAAACATCAGGCACCAATTTAGCATCTATCATCCCATTAAAAACCTTCCAAAATAAATCCAACTTATTTAACTTAAGCAAATCACCTAAAAAATTATTACAACAGACCAAACCAGGCAAAACCCCACCTTCTTTAGCACCCAAAAAAACATAAACAGCACCATCCCAAGAACCCATTTTCTTATAACAATCAATCAGAATCTCCAAAACCCCTACATCATTCCCTTCACACCCCTTATAACACCTAATAATTGAACCCAAAACGGCCTGAACAGGCCCATTAGTCCTAACCATCTTGTCTAAAACCATATTGGCATCACGGAACAGCTTTGAATTACATAAAGTAACAGCTAGAAATGAAAAAGAATCCAACTTTTGAGGATTTGGAAATTGGTGACTTGCCCAGTTGAAGAAATTAAGCAGGCGTTTGGGATCACGAACCGAGTTTTGGAGAAGAACCGAGTGAACCATTTCTGGGTTTAGCTTGTTTTTCAATTCTGATGATGTTTCAAGAAGGCGTTTCCAGTCATTCTTTGTGAGGATAGAGGCGATTTCCACGGCTTCGGCGTCGCTTGGAGCAGAGGTACAAAGGGAGGCCGATTGGAGACGAGAGAACCTCATTTTTGTGAAATAAAAGAACCTTCGTTTTGAAGTTAAACGCATTGTTTTGAAGGATTTTCGAAGTGAAAAAATGGCGAATTTTCAGTAAGGAACTTCGGTTTATGTCTGCAAACAAAAACAAGTTCCGTTTTGCGAGAAAAGGCGAGAAAAGAAACAGTGCGGAAGAATGTTTAGAAAACACTTGATGGGCTTTGGGCATCAGTTTCTGGGTTTTTTGGCCCATATTTATGATCCAATAAAACCCAAAATTGGCCCTAGTAGTAAGGTGGGTTAAACTTTCGTGTAGGAGTGATAAAAAAAAAATCGAAAATCTATTTGAAGTTTAGATTGGATCAATTTTTTTTATTTAATTTATATAAAGTTTAAATATTAAATATATATATTAGGTTCGGATCAAATTTTAAATTAAAAAATGAGATCAAATCAAATTAAATTATATTTTTTTTTAAATTTATATATATATATTAAATGTTTATAAAATAAAAATAATAATTTTATATCAAATCTACTTAAATATATTAATATTTTATATTAAAATAATATATAAAAATTAAAAATTGATAAATTTGTAAAATTGAATTTGAATCAAATAAAAATTCAGTTTAAATTCGGATTAAATTTTAAATTTCATAATATTACGTAATATCAAAAAAAATTGAATTGAATATTATCTGAATCAAATAATTATCATCCTTACTTTTATCTATAGATATTAGTTAGTTACAATAAGAATTAACATAAAAAATTAAGATTTAAAATCTAAATATAAAATAATCATATTTAAAACTCATAATCCATTGTTAGTAACGATTTATAAGTTTAAAAAAATTTTAAAAAAATTAAAAAAATTCATAAATCTCTTTATGAATTAAAAACTTATTAAAAATAAAATAATCTCATTTCCTCTTAAATTTTTCTGGACAGAAAAAAAAAAAAAAAAAACGATATTAGCTAGCAACTTATAAATAATCTGCCGTAACATTCGAACATTTGATTTTATAGTTATTGTACAATCTCCCCTTCATTCTTTACTTTAGTTCGAATTTCTTTTCTCCAAAAAAAAAAAAAACGAAAGGGTCTTGGACTTAATAGAAGCCTTCCTTCTCAGGCATATCTTTTGGACTTGATTTGTGGGGTCGTGTAGTTTCATTGGGGTCCAATAAATGTTTGATTTTTAATGATAGTAACATGAAACTTTGCATGGTCCATGGGCTATTTCTGTTTCTTAAAGCTAGTGGATCAAATTACTCAAAAGCCCAATTTTTTGGGCCCATGGAATTAACTTAGTTTTCCAATATTATGGGTTTGTGGGTAAGTACAAAGAGAAACTTGTCTTTCTAGTTGTTTTTCACTTTTTGATACTATCAATATCATACATCTTCTTTCAAAAATAAGTTTCATCTGGACCATCAAATGTTTGATCTCGATATAATACAAGATACGATAAAAAAAAAAATTTTATCGTTCACTAAAGGGTGTAGAGTGGTAATTCGAACATATGTTTTCTATTTCTCTTTTATATTAAACATTAAAAATTAAAATGATAAAAATAACTCAATTATTATATTTAAATTTTAACGTTATTAATATCAAAATCTAAGGGAAGAAAGCACATTGCTTTTTTTTTTAAATATTAGACCTAATAAACTAAAATATAGCACGATAATAAGATATAAATATAATATAATATATAAAATAATATAATTTAAATTTTAATAATAATCATATTTAAATTTAATAAAATTAAAAATATATATTTATATTTTCGTATCTATATAAATTAATATATATAATTTATGTAAAATAATATAAATATATAAATTTTAATATTTTATATAATATATATACGTAAATTTATCAAATATTTTGTTAAACTAGTAATTAGTACCTATGATTTAGATAAGGAATTTGAGTGGCCGTTGGTCCCCCATTTAACAAAGGGAGGGGACTACACGCCACGCGTCTCAAGAAGGAAACAAACAAACAAAATAACAAATACATTTGATAATACGACAAAAGAGAATTCTTTATAATTTCCAAACAATTGTTTTTTATAATTAAAGAAAAAACCCAAAATTATTAATTTAAATTTATTAAATGGCACTTAAATTTCAAATTTTAAAAGAAAATATTAAATTATATAATCAATTTAAAGAGTAACTATAGAACCCTCCTTAAAAAATACTATGAATTTATCGTATGATTTGGTTGTGCCATTGCCATTGCCATTGCCATTGTGGGGGGAAACTATTTGGACCACCACCATGTCAAATTGATGGAATTTTTTAGGAGGGTTTCACATTTTTGTACGAGTTTTTAATGCCGTGTCGGATCAAAATTCTTTGAAAGTAAGAAACTATATAAATAAATAAATAAATGCATGAACAAATCAACCCTAGCCAAAGGAATAGGCTGACTCATACCTAACAAACTTGCTTTTTTTTTTATTTTAGGGTTTTAATTTAAAAATAATAATAATTTAATCGATCAAAGATTGTTTCATTTCAAAACAAATACATATCATAAGTTTTATCAATGATTATATTTAATTTACAAATCATTCATGTTAATAGCGAAAATCAAACTTAAATTTTAAAAATAAAATTTTAAATCTTATTAATTCTATCAAAATCGTGACTTAAATATTATTATTTTTTCCCAGCAAGATTTCCCTAAATAGTAATTTTTGACCCAAAATTTGTTCAAGCAAGATCTCAAAAGGTGATTCAATTGTTAAGGGTCCATGACATTTTGTCTCCTTGGAAATGACCCTCTCTTTTTCTTTTGATGAAGAGAATTGGAGATGACGTGGAGGAGAAGAAAATTCATATTCATTCTCATAAAATGGATTCCAATGACCAATTAGAAAGTAAAACCATAGATTACAATCTAATATATATTATTTTAAATTTAAGAACCTTTTTTTTTATTGCCTTTCACTACTTTTAAAGCCTCTGTTACTTGTGGAGGATGACTTTTTTCTTTCTCATTTAATTAATTTAAATCAAATGCTTTTCGGAGAAACCCAGAAACTGATTTTGCTTTGAGGCTGAGATCTCTTTGTCTTTTTCCCCACGTTTTTTTTGCAATTTCATGGGCAGCCATTAAGGAACTTGATAACAACTACCAGCACATCATGAATCACACCTAGCAATTTAATGTATATTTTAACCCTAATTTTATAATTCGGATGTCAATTGAACTTGTAAGTCATTCCATTGATGACATCTTCTCTAATTCAACTATTAAACTTAAAATTTTTATTATTTTAAAAGTTTTGAATTCAAATATTATAATAAATAAATAAATTTTATTTTATATAATTATTTTTAAATAATAAATTTATAATTTAAATTCTAACATTTATAATTATTTATCTTATATCTAAACTATAATCTCATTTATGAAAATTAAAAAGAAAAAGCTTTTTTTGTTTTTAAAAAAAATCTGAAGATAAATAAGCTATTCAGTCCTTCAGGTTAAGATAAAATATATTGTATCTGATAATTTAAAATAAATGACTATAAATCGTGCATTCAATATTATTTCAACAAATTATCACCGATAAAATTAAAATTAAAAACTTTTTTATAAAAAAAATAAATCTTAATCGATTAAACAAATCACTTATTGAAATATAGTTTCCCTCCTCTATTGACACCTACAATAAATATTAATAGCAATTATAAAATTTGTACTTTCTTGATAGGGTCATTAAAATATCCTATATAGGCTGTTGTACATAAAATTAGAAATATATCTTATTGGCATATTTAGTTGTATTTATTAGACCTAATTACTTTCTCTGAGAGCTTGCCCATGTTATGAAATAAAATTACCATTCTATTGATTTAAAAACTTTATTAATTATCTTTAATAAAAAATTCTCATGAATTTGATCTAAAATAACTTAATTAATTTTGCCATTTATATTAAGGTAACAAGCTATTTTAAAGTAGTTTTTTTTTTTTTTGGAAAAAAAATTTAAAGTAGTTCATTGTCAAACTCATAATTTACACAAGACATTGGTTATTCCCATATTGTTACAAATAGAATAAAGTAATTGTATTTTTTATACAAAATATTACAATTGAAAATAAAAATAACAAATATTAGAATTTAAATTAAATAATAATAATAATTACTATATTATTATTTAATTCAAATTCATTTACAAAGCACTTGTCATTTTGGTTACTCATCTAATTACGTGGAGAAGCTGCAACCACTTTTCTTTAGACATTGACAAATTAAAACTCTATTTTGCTCATTAAAATAATACTTAGTAATTAGATTGGCAACAAATTCTTAATTAACCTCCCCAACAAAGAGACTCAAGCTTTTGTTCTAATAGAGAAGCAAGCCTCTTATCATTTGTAGGTAAACCTCAAAGTGGTCAAACCTTGACAAAATCCAAGCTTTTTTATTTTTTTTAAGTTATTTAAATTAAATGGGGATCCTAATTAGTGATTACTTAAAAAAAATAAAAGATTAAGTCTACGTTTGTTTAAAATTTTTAATGTCTATACGAATTATAAAACAATCGAATTTTAATTAAATATACAAAAAAATTAATTAAGAAAAAAACAATGAGATGTTTCGATAATGAATAAATACGACATGTAATTTTTAATGTTGATAATTAGATATACGACATGTTATTGTCTTTGCTGACAAAGAGAGATAGCTAACGTGTTTGAGAAAACATCAACTTTTCCTTAATCTTCATTAACAATGTCATGATTAATTAGTGTTTTTGTACTTCTCGTATGAGCTACCAAAAACATTAAAAAAAAAAAAAAACAAAATTTCTTTGTCTTACTTTGGCCAATTAGGGTTTTTTATTTTGAAATTAAGAATGGTTAGGGTTAGCAATTAATCACATGATTTAAAACTAGTGGACTTGGTCTCAGGTTTGATTTTCCTAGAAAAAAAATATTGTTTGCTTTATTTTTTTCTTTCCTTCCTAGAAAGAAAGATTTCGTATTTAAACTTATCTTCCAAAAAGAAAAAAGCAGGAAAAAAAAATGGTGTCATGCCCCATAACTAGTACAACTTATGGTCTTTGTGTACAATGCAAGGAAACATGGTTAATTATTTTATGTGGTTTTTTTTTTTTTTTAGTATAAAATTTTTTAATAAAATAATATTTTATTTTATTCTTAATTTGTTATAGTGGATAATGAATATTATCAATTATATATTTTAAATAATCTATTTTTCATAA